TTTTCGTCGTGATCATTCTCTTCATGTTACCACAGAATTTGGACTTCCTTAAATTCTGCAGAAGCAAAAAGGGCGAGAAAGGTAAATAATAGATTTATCTAAAATTGTCCAGGATTTAAAATGATCAAAGACTTTAACTGGTATTTATTTGTGATCATTTTAGGTGAAATTGAACCATTGCCTACTAAACCTGCCGGAGCTCTCATTACATGGAAATATGTTTTGGCTAAAATTCCATGGGGTCTTATTTTCTTGCTTGGTAAGAATAATATCTTGAATAATTTTAAGTAGTATATGAAATTTTATCAAACTTAATTTTAAAAATTTTTCCTAAAATGTTTATCAATCTTAGTTGGCTTAATAATTTTTGAGAAATTATAATTGACTATTTATTTTCTGTCTAATAGTTTTGAATTCAAAATTTTACAGTTTATAAGAAATAACTTTCATAAAGACTTTGTTTTTAAAAAGAATGCTTTATCCCCTTAACATATATTATTTATCAAGGTGTTGATATATATTATATCAGAAGTTCCAATATAATTTGTTTTATCTTGTATTTATTCTATTCCAGGTGGTGGTTTTGCATTAGCAGAAGGCAGCAAGGAATCCGGAATGTCAGAATACCTAGGTCAATGTTTGATCGGCCTGAAACAACTACCACCACTTTTGTTGCTCTTCGTAATCTGTCTGACTGCCGAATTTCTGACCGAGTTCTCATCCAACGTTGCCATTGCCAACATCATGTTGCCGGTTCTAGCGGAAATGGTAAGTTAATAAATTAACATTCCATGTTGCTGAAGAAGTTATTTTGTTAATACCTGTATTTAAATTGTTATTCAATTAGTCTGTAGCGATAGAAATGCATCCTCTTTACTTGATGTTGCCTGCAGCATTATGCTGCTCCATGGCCTTCCATATGCCAGTGGGTACTCCACCGAACGCTATCGCCGCCGGAATGTGCAACATATCAATAGGAGACATGGTTTGTACATATATACAGCAAATAAATATTCTCTTAGTTTTCTTACCCATCTATCATCTATTCCTCTATTACAGGCCAAGGCTGGCATAGGACCATCAATCGTCACATTGCTCGTGATCTGGGCCAGTTTCCCAACCTGGGGCTCCGTTGTCTATCCCGAACTGGTCACCTTCCCCGCATGGGCCACACCAAGAAACGTTACAGCAGGATTTTAAAAAGGCTCATTCGAAATACTCTCAAGTACAACATCGTTTGAGATTAAATATATAAGTAAATTATTGATCACAATTATGGCATAGATCCAAAGCTCGCCAATTGTTATTAAAGAGTTTCAACTTTCTTCTATCATCATCTATAAATATTCTGATGCTTTACTTCAATGAAGTGTATTTGCATCATTGTATCTGCATTTTATTTAAATATGTTCGGAATTGTTTTCTGAGATGGATATTAGGATGACAGTACTAATTCTCTAGGTTAATTAGTAGAATCGTGTTTAATATAATTAGTTTATTATAATTAATCGTGGCTTATTAATAGCAATGGTTTCACACAATTTATAGGCATTGAACAAGTTATTTAATTCCGAAGTATTTTTGTATAGTAATTTAGTAAATATATGACAATAATTATTTAGAAGTAACTTAAATCTATATCTATCTAATCTCGTTATTGTAAATAGTATATAAAAACCAATCATTCTTATAAAAATAATATGTCGTGCATATGTTTTTAGAAGAAACTATTTTTACATAATGATTATAAACTTCTATATTTTATAAGAATATGCATTAAAAATTTATTTAAATAAAATTTTATAGGAGCGTGTTTAAGTTTTAAAAAATAAAGTCAATATGTTTATATAAAACTAATACACTTGTTTACTTTATAACTATTTCTTCTGAACTGCAAAATCCAATCGCACTTTAACGATTTATATAAATATAATAATTGAACAATAAAATTTAGATAATTTATGGCTACAGTAAGCTAATTGGGTTGCAACTAATAAATCAAATTATAATAAAAAAATATATTTTATGGGCGCCGAGCTAAACAACATTAAGTATATGTATTTTTCATACAATTCTTTTATCAGAAACTATTTCTATTCCACTAAATGTTCAACTGATTATAAAACTTCAATACAAAATTAAAAGTAAATACTGAAATGATTGAAAAATACATTTTCAAAGTTTTTATATTATATATGTGTGCGAGCACTCTACAGGTACTCAAATAATTATTTTTTTTAAGATAATGAGTTATTTTTTAGACTTCAATTTTTAGGTGACTGCGGAAACTTCGACATGTGATGAATTGCAAACTCCTGTAAGTATTTGATATAAATTATTTTATATGTATATATATATATATATATATATATATATATATATGTTAAAGAAGTTAGTTTTGATGTTGAGAAATATTAGTAAGTTCTTCAAGGGCAATACATCAAATAAAAGGCAAAGATTTAGATTTAGCTTTAGATATATGTATATATATATATATATATATATATATACATATATTAACTAATAGATATATATATATATATATATATATATATATATATATATATATATATATATATATATATATATATATATATTCCTTCAAAACCAATGGGAATCCACTAAGATTCCTAAGTTCCTACGGCGAAGAACTACGTTGCTCATATGAAACTTAATCTGGTACCATAATTATATGTCTGATGGCGTATAAAACGGTATATAAATGTATATATTGATATTCCTTCAAAGCCAAGACCATAATTATATATCTAATAGCGTATAAAGCGATATATACATGTATATATTGATATTCCTTCAAAACCGGGACCATAATTATATATCTAATAGCGTATAAAGCGATATATACATGTATATATTGATATTCCTTCAAAACCGGGACCATAATTAAATATCTAATGGCGTATAAAGCGATATATAAATGTATATATTGATATTCCTTCAAAACCGAGACCATAATTATATATTTAATAGCGTATAAAGCGATATATACATGTATATATTGATATTCCTACAAAACCGAGGCCATAATTATATATCTAATAGCGTGTAAAGCGATATATAAATATATATATATTGATATTACTTCAAAGCCGAGACCATAATTATATATCTAATGGCGTATAAAGCGATATATAAATGTATATATAGATATTTCTCCTAAGCCAGGACTATTATTATATATCTAATGGCGTATAAAGCGATATATAAATGTATATATTGATATTCCTTCAAAACCGGGACCATAATTATATATCTAATGGCGTATAAAGCGATATATACATGTATATATTGATATTCCTTCAAAACCAGGACCATAATTATATATTTAATGGCGTATAAAGCGATATATAAATGTATATATTTATATTCCTTCAAAACCGGGACCATAATTATATATCTAATGGCGTATAAAGCGATATATACATGTATATATTGATATTCCTTCAAAACCGGGACCATAATTAAATATCTAATGGCGTATAAAGCGATATATAAATGAATATATTGATATTCCTTCAAAACGGGACCATAATTATATATCTAATGGCGTATAAAGCGATATATACATGTATATATTGATATTCCTTCAAAACCAGGACCATAATTATATATGTAATGGCGTATAAAGCGATATATACATGTATATATTGATATTCCTTCAAAACCAGGACCATAATTATATATGTAATGGCGTATAAAGCGATATATACATGTATATATTGATATTCCTTCAAAACAGGGACCATAATTATATATCTAATGGCGTATAAAGCGATATATAAATGTATATATTGATATTCCTTCAAAGCCGAGACCATAATTATATATCTAATAGCGTATAAAGCGATATATACATGTATATATTGAAATTTCTCCTAAGCCGGGACCTTTATTATATATCTAATGGCGTATAAAGCGATATATACATGTATATATTGAAATTTCTCCTAAGCCGGGACCTTTATTATATATCTAATGGCGTATAAAGCGATATATAAATGTATATATTGATATTCCTTCATAATTATATATAAATTCCTTTAAAGAAATTCAATGGAAATCCAATAAGATTCCCAAGCTCTTAAGGCGAGTGCTTGCAGCGCCTCTATGCTAAATCGTTCCCAAATCGTGAGGAACTAACGTTGACAGTTCTTGCGTAAGAAGGAATCCAATAAGATTCCTATGATTCTAAGGCGATAGCATGCAGCGCCTCTATGCAAAAATGTTCCCAATTCGTGAGGAACTACGTAGTCACTACCGGGTTCATGTGGTTCTGTGTTAGATGGCGCCACCGACCTAAACGTCTGACGTGTTTTGAATTGGCGAAAAACCGTGGATATATATCCAAGACCCTAGACAATATTAGAATACCCCGTCTCCAAGACATTTTCACGAGATTGAAGAGAGTGAAAAATCTTTAGTTCATGATATTTTTTATATTAAAACAACACTAATATTGTTCGTTCGTATTCCAGAACAGAAAATGTCAATTAGCAAGCACAACCCACGGACTACCCACTTTACCTAAAGCAATCCAGGAAATAGCTCAAAACGATTTTTGGCAGAACTTGGAACCTAGTTTCATTGGCGAATCTAAAGGACTACTGTGGGAAGATACATTTGATAAAGAATTTCGTAACATTAGTGTAAAATTAATCTAACAAGTAAGTTAGGGAATACAATAGAATATATATAGACAACAAATGGCTGCAAATCAACATTTCAATAGAATATATATATATATATATATATATATATATATATATATATATAATCAATAAATATGTATATAAATAAACTAGATATATATTTATCTAAAAATTGTTTTCTTATTACAAAAACACAATATTATTTATGATATAATAGCGATATAATACAAATTCATTTTAAAACAACAGTTATATATGTATTCATTAAATATGCATTGGACTATATTAAATAATAATACTCCTAAGATATTTTGGCAAAATTGTCACATCAGTTTTGTTGATTTAACGAAAATGAAAGTTGAACACTTCAAGTGAAGACAACACATTACTCATGCTCGATTACCCCTTGCAAACCTCTGAATGAACTTCCCAAGCATTCACCTAAACATAAAATACAACAGATAAAAATATAAACACAGATAATCTATTAACATAGATAGTGGGTTATAATTAGTATACAATACTGTGAAAAATGAAAACAGAATAAGCCTAAACCCAGTAAAACCATACCTGACATTCTCTCGAACAATACCATTGATTAGCACAGCCTGCACAAACATAATGTGCTTCAGATTTGTTACAGCCTTGACAGGGTGGTGGAGTTTCCTCTTCCTCATCTCCATTTTCTTCTGTCACAGCACTTTCACCATTGATATTTATTTCTATATGATGCTCTCCTGAATCTTTTGGCTCTTCTTTTACCTAATAAATAAAATAGTAATATACACAAGCAATCCAAGAATAATTAATTTATAATTCATTTATTTCTTCACCTCGTTTGATTCAACAGCAGGCCTATTATCTATAGGAGTTATGGTAACTTCATCTGTACATCTTCTTTTACTCCTTTCATTTGTTACAGTCATGGTTTTCCTGTTGCTGATATTCCCTCCAAGCCGTTCTGCCAATGTAGATGGTAGGTGATTTATTGATGTATTACTGGAATTTCTTTCTGGAGCTGTCAGCAATCGTGCCAAAGTTGAAGTGTAAGCATTTGAGTCAGATGTACTTGTTGTAGTTCGTTGAGACTTCTAGATTATTTTAGAGAGCAGTGAAAAAAAAATTCTCAAAATATATTTTCTGTTTAACATTCTCACCTTAGATAATATACCATGAAGCAAACTTTGCTGCTTCCCAGTGTCTTCTAGATTGCCATTTATTGGATGCAGAGAAATATCACTTGTTCGCGAAATATCATTCATTAAAGATAATGGAATACCATTATCACTGTTTAATTGGAAATGTTGGTTGCGCAGAAGCATGTTATCATTTGATTCAGAACTAGATGGTCTTGATCCCTGGAAAATATTGAATATGATTGTTGGGCTTATATGTATTAGAGAAGTTTAGTATGAATATTTTGTTTTTAAATTATAAGAACCTTATATAAACCATAATATTTGTTATAGATTATCAAAATAATAAATGTACAAACCATTTCATTATTAGCCAGTAATAAGCCAAGTTCAGAAAGTCTATTAGCATCATTTGGTCCATCAGCAATTCCAACTGTGAAATGATATTTATAATTATCATCACATAAGTATTTTATAAATACAGTTAATAAATATACTTATAAACAAAATATTCACCATTGTTACTTTGCAATACAGACTTCATACGTCTTCCCCTCTTTGGAACTACTTCCGGATGCTGCTGTCTGTAGTCAGCAATTATAGATTTTACATCTTTGACTAGACCTTGTCGACCATTGATAGGACTGTTTAGTTGCTGGTTGAGCATAAATTGATTATGATTGATATTGCCAAGATTATTAAAATGATTCATTGGACCATTTTTAATAATATTATTGCTATGGGCTTGTGGAGGTAGCTGAATTTTAGCCTAAGTTAAAACAAATAAACTTTATAAAAAAAGCTATAATTCAAAAATATAATACAAAATTAATTAACTTACTTGGAAATTGCTCCCACTATAATTTACTGGTAAAACTGTTACCCCATTATGAACATTATTTGCAAAATGATTAACTTGAGGTTCAATTTTATTAGTGACCTCCCCATTAACAGACGCTGCATTGGAAAAATAATTTGGAAACATACTTTTTGATAAAATATTTGTTAAACTAACAGCATTGTTAGAACAGTTGGAGTTCAACATTGTCAGATCATTCAGGTCACTACTCGTATTGTGGCCATCATCAACTTTCATACGCATTAACATTACGTCCCTCTTTCTTGATAATCTTATTAATAATTCTTCTTTCGCTTTTTGCAAGTAGACTAACTCATTCCATTCTTGTTCCTTTTGACGTATGAGATCATTCAGCTGACGTATTTCATTCATGATTAGTTCCATGTGTTGTGTCTGTAAAAGAA